TATGATTTTTCAACCTAGAGGCCAGAAACAGGAAATCATCTTCACTGGGCTAATGCCAAGGTGTCAGCAGGATTGATTCTTCCTTCTTTAGGGAGGATCCCATTCCCTTGCCTTTGAAGCTCCTTTGCAGGCTGTGGCCCCTTCCTGGTGCATTACTCTGACCTCTTGCTTCCTTTATCATCTCTTCTGTCATCAAATCACCCATTGTCTCCCTTTTATAAGGAAATTTATGATGCCATTTAGAGCCTGTTTAGAAAAGCAGGACACTATCTCTTGAGGTTTAATTAAATCACATCTGCAGAATCCCTTTTGCCATATAAGGCAATGTTCACAGGTTCTGATGATGGGGACACAAATATCTTTGGTAGCAATTATTCAGCCTACCACATCTTCTATTTTCTACCTCAGCCCTTTCTCATCCAAAGTAAACCTCTCCTCTCCTCTTAAAAATTTCTTTCCATAATGTTCTCTGCATTCCTCTTATTATTACCGCATTGGGGATCTCACTAAGACAACCAATTGTCAGGGTTTTTATGGGTCTCGAGGGGTTCCCAGAACACAAAACTTTCAGCTTTAAATTAGAAAGTTTCCCAGGCAAGCAGGGTGAGTCCATTACCCTAAATCTTCACCTTCATTTCCAAGATGCCCTTTGTAGCATTCATCACTTGGAATTGTAGTTGATAATTCTTAGTTCTCTTGCTTTTCTCCTCTGCTGGGCTATTGGCAGGAACATGATTCTTTTGTGTTTACAATGCTTCTGCCTCTGTTTCTGGCATGTGGCAGATGCTTCAAAAGAGCATGGATGTCATCAATGTTTGTGGCACAGCCCTGAGACAGCAGACAACCTAGGCAAAGTGGAAATTTTCCATCCTGCGACCAGAACAAAACCAAAATGAAGCAGAACACTGAGCACCAGCATGGTGTGTGTACTCTGTTCTCTTGGGAGCTTTCTTTTTTCCTTTCTTATCTGCACTTGCAAATTTGAGTTAAACTACAAACAAGTCTTTTCAAGATTGCAAATATTCACAGTTCTTGCTAGAGCACACTGTTTCCAAACAAATAGAGGCTCTGTTATTTACAGCTGATTGCTCTACCACTTGTCTTGCCTGCTTCCTGAACACTTACTGTCATAAACAGAGCAGGATGAGAATAGATTCTGAATTAGGTTTGGGAAGCCTTCTAACGTTTATTTATTCCCTTAAACTCTGATAAAATTGACCCTTTCTTGGAATTTGCCCCCTGAAGGGCCTGGCCTCTAGAGCACAGACTTGTGACTCATTTTGGTATCACTTCTCCCTAGTACCCTCCAGCCAACTTGGTTTACCTCTGAGAACGTATCCTTGGGCAAAGGTGCCCTGCAACTTGCTCAAAGTTAATGAAAAAGTAATTGAAGTAAACACTAAAAAGCAAGATTCAGACAAAGGCATCATTTAGCAAGAGTCACTGGTTCTCAGGCCCAGTTCTGAGTAAAGTCATTTCTACTTCTGAGCAGTGAATACATTGATGCCCTGCAGCCAGGGGTGCTGGTAATGCTTGTGAGAAGCTGTTTGAATGAAACCCTGGACAGCATCAAGGAGCAAGGAAGTAAGGAGACATCTTCTATTATCCACATGGAAAAGAGAAACTAGAAAATCAAAACCTATGTTACACGTATGCAAACAAAGGGTATATGAGAAGATGAGATAGTCCTAGTGGATGAGAAAATGAAAATTGGAATTTTTAAATGAAGATCGACTGTATTTTATCAATACACACATTCCTAGTTTAAGGACCAAGTTCTATTCCTGCGACTATCTCATTAAATGAATTGTTTGCTAGAAGAATTATATATAGTAAAGGAATTATACATAGTATTATAGTATTATATATAATATATTCATTACAATATTCAGAACAAAGAAAAGGTCAAAGGAAACTCCAACTTGATGACTTTGTTTTTATTTGCATAACTCTTACATGCAGTACTATAAAGTATAACAGAGCATAAAACTACAGTACTGTACTATACAATACAATCAGCAAAAATTACAGTACTGTATAAATAAGATGTACTGGACAAAAAAGACATTGAGGCTCTATTATCAAGAGGTAGAGAACTGTACAAAAAAAGGGATGGGTTGTAAGTCCAAGCTGCATGTCATTGAGTCTGAGCTGTGGTTCATAAGTTCAAACTGCAGCTCAAACTTATGCACACCTTCATCCTAAGTCTTAAGACTAGCTAACCAGGTAAGTCATTAAATGAGGAATTGCTGTACATATCTATATCTATAGCGATCAGCAATGCTTTTCATACAGAAGTGAACCACATCCACCAAAGAAAGAATTCAGCAAAAAATGCAATTAGAAGGAAATATTGGGCAGAACCTCAAAATATAACATCATAGATAAAAGTAGATATATTTTAATTTGGAAAAATATATTAAACTCCACTTAAGGTTTATAAATCTTTTTGTAATGTATGATAAGGAGGAGAAGCTCTTAATGATTCTTCTCAAGAAATTCACATATATCTAAGTGAATTTACCTGAAATCTTTCTGATGAGGATAACTGATAAGGGGTTACAAGATGAGTGACTGATTTACCCAGAAGCAGCCACACAAATCCTGGGTGCCCAGCTTTTTAAACTCACATCATCATTTTCTTACAGATGAGTCATCCTGGTTACAATTTAACCTCTAAACTCATCTGAGTCATCTATCAAAGTGCTCTTAATTGTTCTTACTACTTACTGAGATATGAAGCAGAATTTTTGAACAGCTATAAAGGGCAACCTTGATTTCCTGAGGTTTATGTGCTCCTCAGCTATCCATATCCTGAAAGGGAAAGGAAATGCCCCCTCTTTCTTTCCATAGGGTCTGGTTCTGTGGTTGCTTCATCAACCACATCTGCTTAAATCTGCTTTAATCTGCTTCATCAGATTAAAAATTAAAAATGAGATTAGTGAAGCTGGTTTAAGTAAATAAAGACTTTTATCTAACCATGAAAAAATTAGAAGACTCAAGTAAGGTCCTGTTAAATGTTAACTTCTGCCAGGAATCTGCTGAAGGTTCACTGGCAGAGCAGGAAGTTGCATTTCACGAATCTGTAGTCAAGTTGTCTCTGTTGTTTGTAGAATACCAGGTGGCCTTAATAATGCAATACCACTTTGAAAAAACATAAATAATTCCTTTTCTTTTTGGTCTTCATTGTGTGTTTTGTGTTTTCTTTGTATTTTTTGTTTTTCTGACCCTCTAAGACAGTACTTTACTTCTCCGAGTCTCCGGTAGGGATTTGGGATTTCAGAATCAATGCCATCATGATCCAAGGCACTGCCTCCCAGATGATTTTTTAATTAGATGAACTAGTAAAATTTCCCACATTTTGGTAACCAGTTTAAAATTGCCAACTTTGTATTTTGCCTAGTATATGAAAAAAATAAAATAAAATGGAAAAAAGCTACCAAACTGTCATCAGTAGCATTTGGTTAGTGGATACAGAGGTGCAATGGGATAGGAGAAATAACTTCCAAAGTTCCACAGCAGTCAAATAACCATGGTTAACAACAATTAATTATATATTTCAAAATAGCTAGCAGACAGGAATTTGAATATTCCCAACACAAAGAAAAGATGAACATATGAGGTGAAGAATATGTCAGGTGCCCTGATCTAATCCCTACACAGTGTGTGTTTACCCCATAAATATGTAAAATTACTACATATCAATTAAAAATAAAATAATAAATTTAAAAAACATATTTGAATACCTTTTATTTTCTGAGAAACTGACTGATTTACTCTTTTTGTCACAGGTGGGTAGAATTTTGTCCAAAATGAATGCTGGTCAACAACAGTAGTTCGAGAACCACTGATCTAATTCAATTTCCTAACCATTAGCTGAAGAAATTAAGACTAGAGTCACTTGGCCGAGATAAATAAATGTTAATCTACTTCACTGTAGTAACTATTATATTATCTCTCTATATATCCCATGACATCAAGTTGTAAACTGCAATTATATACAGTAAGATTTATTTTAAAAAGCATTTTAGAGAAGTATGTAGATATAATTATCTCAAAAGTGAAAAAATATATTAGTTACATCTAGTTAAAGTATTTAAAGGCAATGCTCCAGAACTATGACTGACAGTAATGTTATGGGTGCTTTTTCTTTTTAAAAATTTCTATAATTTTCACTCTTTATAACAATATCCATATTTCTTTTTGTAATTTTAAGAATCCACATTTTTAAGCCTAAAGAACACAAATAAATCCAATGTTTTATGTTTGTGTTACTGTGGTATGTCAACATCCTCTTTTATTTTTAAGTAACACAGATATGTCCTTTCATATAGGTTGACCTTTTCCTCTTGGTTTCATCTTGGTTGACTGGTTTGATGAAAGTCCAAATCCCATGTCATGGTGTAAACTCATTGACCCACATGACTGCTCTGAAAAAATAGAGTATATTACTATGTTGCACCAACTTTTAGAAGCAACAACCTTTTGTGGGAGAGAGGAGTAGACCCACATTCATGTAAAATGCATGCTCCAGAAATTGTAATGACACAAAAGGACCGTGATGGCAGACATTTCAGCAAATTACAATCTGTACTCAGGAAATGCTTCCTCTGGGAGGTGCGCCTCAGTCTGAGTAAATACGTACTTTCTCTTTTTACAATGCAGTGTAAGACAGGTTAGTATAAAAGTATATGCAGTGGTATGAGTTTTAATTCATAAATATGAAAATCAGTTTTTAGTTTTGTTTGTAACTTAATGAGACCTTAGAAATCAGAGAGAAAAGTATTTTGTCTCACAACCTATAATCAGATGTGTGACTTTGGAAGGAAAAAAGTTAAAAAGCTGAGGAATTTATAGAGAAAAGAAAGGAATTAATAACATCAAATTCTTTTCTGGCTTCATTTTATGTTAAACAGTAAACAGATGTCTAATTTTGCTAGTGAATTCTTGGATCACAGAAGTAAATAGCTTCCATGGATTGATAGGGTTTTTTTGAATGTATTATTTATTTTAACTGTTGTCATAAAATAATTTAAAAAGACAAATGTGGAACATTAAAACAGAGAACAGTGTGGTATTGTAATAGTTGAAATTATTTGAATACAAGTTTTAAAAATCCAACCCAAATGGAAATAAGGAAAAAGGAGATCTCATTGGTTCATATAACTGAAAAAAATTAATGGGGTTGGTGGCTTCAGTTTTGGCTGTATCCAGGAATCCATATGAGCAGGACCTAGTTTCTTTCCACCTCCTGAATTTGCTCTTCTCTGGTTTTAACTCTGTGTTACTCAGAGTTTACAACTGCAAAATACAGAAACCAACCATGGTTAGCTTAAGCCAGAGAATAAATTTATTAAAATATTTTAGCTAATGTGCACCCTCTATGTAAAATCTTAAGAACCAACCCTGGGGACACATAGATAGAAACACAACTCCAAATCATCTTAAGAGCCAGCCCACTGGAGACATCATTGCCAGGTAACTGGACACAACACTTCCAGTCCCAGGCAGTGGATGATTCTCCTAGAACTCCTGATACTGATGTTTCTAGAAACAGGATAAGCCTCTGTTACTTTCCTGGAATAAAGTTCTTCATTTTATTGACTTCTGATTAAAAGTCAGACAAGGGTGAGTCCTATTGGCAGATTCCAGAACACACATTCCCAGGGCAAAATCCAGCTTTTATAAACAAAAGTACTCTCGTAAATTGGGAACTTCTTTTTTTTTTTTTGGTACCGGGAATCGAACTTGGGTCCTTGCACTTGCGCAGCAGGCGGCAAAACCACTGAGCTAAATCCCCAGCCCCGGGAACTTCTTCAACATAGGAAAGTCATTCAAAGGTGCTTAGCGATAAAAAAGAATAACAAAATTTATGTCACTGCTTTTTTTCTTAAGCACTATAGGTTGTCAGTGGCTGCCAGCAGCTCTAGAACTGCATGTTCTTGCCCCTAGGTTCAAATGCTACAAAGAAAACATCTGTGATTTTCCCATAAGAACTGGTAAAACACTCCTCTCCCATTACCTCTGATATTCCATGCCAACTGTTACAGTCACGTGATCAGGGGAACATGTTGCCTTGATTGTCCAGCCTTGAATCCATGCTCACCCCTGGAGCTGGAGGGGATCTCAGCTCTCTGGAAGCATTTGAAGTACTTGTTCTAAGAGAAAAAAGGACGTGGTCCCTTAGAGAGACTACATAAATTAAATTGCTAGGTAGTTTCTAGAAGGATAAATGGATGAAAGGAGAAAAAGCAATAAATCTTTCCTACAAATATTTTGGTATTTAATTTACTTTTTTAGTTCCACCAAGAAAAGCAAGTAAATTTGTATGGGCAGACTAGGTGCTGGGGATTTGGATGAACGGTGATCATTCTAATAAAAATAATTGTAATAATAGTAACAATAATAACCCTTTATTGGATGTTATTATTAGGCTATTCTAAGCTATTACATATTTCTAATCCTTGCAAACTTGTGCTGTATATTATTACCTCCTTTTTATAGATGAAAGGATGGAGGCATGGAATATTAAATAATTTAATCACAATCAGATACTGGATTAAGTTGAATAACTGGAATTTAAACTCAGGTAGTCTGGCTCCAGAACTCATTCTCTTAACTGTACACTGCAGATTTAGAGGATGACTGGTGATTGATCATCCTCTCCCCTCAGCAGAGATATGCCCTAGGAAGAACTTGAAGTCATTGCTTTGTGGCTCAGGATTGTGAGTTCTGTCATATGTGGACAGGTTAGACAGGTCCTTGTGTGACTCATGTTTCCATGCCTGTCCAGTTTGTTAATATGCTTTAGGTTACAGAGAGCTACACTCTGGAAGCCTGCAGCCTGCCTGGGTATTAGCAGTTAGACGTCATTCCACCAGTTCCTAACCATTGGCCACATGGTACTCATTTGCACATTTCCAAGCAGCTTCTGTGCTGTGGGGCTGCTCAAAGATCTGCTATCTGTAGACAAAATTGCCTTGCCAGCCTGGCGGACACCCAAGCAATGCCAAAAAAGAGCCACAAATCCTTCTCAGGCCCCTTACATAAAACCGTTAGTAACAACCAAATTGCAATTGAAAGACAATCCATCAATTACATTTACTGTCAGGTTCCACATTAAGTTGTAGCAATTTTTCTTCCTTCTGAACCATTTTCATAGTATGTCAAGCATTGAACCTGTGACAGCAGAATTAACACTGTCCACATGTGCAGAGAAAGATAATGCTGTCTCCTACTCTATAAATCATTGCTGCACCATTTTTCCAGCTGATGGAGCCGTGTTCCTGCGTCAGAGGTTGAGCATGGTAGATTCGGTTGTTTGTGCTGTAAACCATTACTGAAAATCCTTGTTTTCTGCAAGGTCAGGCCCTAAAAAATAACAGTGTTCATAGGAAAAATGAGTTAAAGGTAGATGATTCAAAACTTGTTCAACTTTAGCAAATGCGCTAGCAAAGATAATAAGAGATATTTTCAATTATAACTTGGACACTTCTAGGCAGGCAACTCAGAGAGACCGGGTCCTCAGGATATAACAAAAAGCATGAAAGCAACACTGACTGTTCAATAGGAAGGCAGGAAGGGAGAGATAGAGAGAGAGAGAGAGAAAGAAAGAAAGAAAGAAAGAAAGAAAGAAAGAAAGAAAGAGGAAGGAAGGAAGGAAGAAAGAAAAAGAAAGAAAGAAAAGGAAAGAAAGAGAGAAAGAAAGAAGAGAGAGAGAAAGAGGGGAGTGGGGGAGAAGGAAAGAAATGAATGGAAAGCACGCTGGAGTTCTGGAGCAGTAAGGCTATGTTGAGGTGGACACAAGAGGAATCAGCACTGCCCACAGATTGAGAGCCATATACAGCTCTAGGGTACCAGGTGCCTCTCTCTCGAGGGAGACCTGAGTGCTGCACTCATTTTTAATTTTCTTTTAAAAAGTTAAAAGGGCTCTTGTCTGTACAGCTACTTCACCACTTTATAATCATGAAAAGAAACATATGAAACAGATGAATTAGGAGAATCCAACATAAGTGGAATATGGAATAAAAATATATCCAATAATTTATAAGTCTGAATTTCAAAACCTATTAAGATATTTTGAGGTGGGAATTTATTCTGGGTAACAGCCACTTAGGAAGCTGCTGAAATTCCTCACAAGTAATCAAAAGAATCAATCTTTCCCATCCGTTTAATTTTCTTGGCTCATTGAAGTTCTGCGAAGGAAAAAGATCCACTCAAGAAACCTGTTGAAATGTGACTTCATGGGCTCCTCCCTCAGATGTACTGATTAATCAGCAACCTAGGATAGTCTTATTAAGTAGATGGCCCTCAGAATTAAACTGAAAATTATTCAAATTGAATAGAGCTGTTCCCTACTTAGCTAGCTAAATACCTCTATTAAATATATTTACTAAAAGAAGCTAGAGTTGCCTTTTGCCCCCATCTTGCAACAGTTCTGCCAGCAATTAGTTTGTTGCCATGAAAGACAAACATTTTATAGCATTTTTCAAGTACTTGCGGCACCTGTTCTCAATTTCTGATGCTAATAGAAGGAAATGGATGCCCATTCAATCACCTTGTAAAGGACATTCTGGGAGAAAAAAAGCAGTGAAGTATAGAGTGGTTCATGAAGTTGTCTATTTTATTTTGCACTTACATTTTATTGCAACTGCCTTTCAGAGATAACTTCTCAGTCTCATGAATGTAATAACATCTGGTGACAAAGAAAGTGGCTTCATAAATTAGAGTAATGCATTGTTTAATGACAGGGATACGTTCTGAGAAATGCATCCTTAGGCAATTTCATTGTTATGTGAACATGATAGAAACTTACACAAACCTAGATGGTGTTGAACTACTACACACCCAGGCTACATGGTCCATGGGACCATGATGAACAAAACACAGGGGAAAATAATGCCTTCAAGAGACATAATAAATATGAGATGTATGGGACTGCAACCAGTGTAACATGGCATACAGGTTAGCAATAAACTTTATTTTGTACAAGTAAAGTCCTATATGCTAAAAAAAATGTACAGTATAGCAAATACATGAACCAGTAATATAGTTTATTATCATTTATTCAGTGTTATATACCATCCATAATTGAATGTCTATACTTTTATATGACTGTCGGAGCAGCAGGTGTGTTTATACCAGCATCACCACAAATGCACAAGTAATGCACTGTGTTGCAATGTCATGTATCTTAGGAACTTTTCACCTTTCTTACAATCTCATAAGGGCACTGCTGCATACTCTATGTGGTTCCGTGTTAATGGAAATATTATTATGCAGCTTGTGACTATACTGAAAGGGCACCACACTACTGTGCAGTTGGAGTCACCAAACAGAAACCAGTCTACTGCCCTGAGATGGGTTTCACTGACCACAATAGTTCTTGCGTTTCTCTTTTCTGATCAACGGTTTACACTAACTTAGGAAAATAGAGTACAAGTACTTCTTAAGTGATAGAAGTTTTCTTCAGACGAATTGCTTACAAGGTGTCCAAGTTTTTTAGGAGTACATTTGTTTATACAAAACTTATTAAAAATAAGAATCACTTGAGAACAAAAGAAGTTGCTTTGAATATGACAGGAAGTGCTTTATTTTATATATATATATATAGTGCTAAAGCAACCTTAGAAGAAGGCTGATTATGTGAAGCCCTGTAACTCTTGAATGTCTTGAGTTAATGAGTTTGGTGATTCAAGTTTGGTGACTGGCGCTGGAGAGAGATGGAATCATTCTATATACAAAAGTTGAATCAATTTGTACTTGTAAGACTCTGAAGAGAGGATGAACAGAGGAAAGAAGAGAGGTACGAGGAATATCTGGGATGGCACATGAAGTAGATACTTCACGGCAAGGATAAAAGTAAGAAATGACATGTGATGGGGTAGCCAGGGAGTATTTTTTTTACATTTCTTTTTATTGTGCCTCTAAAACACATAGAGGGAAGGTAAAATAAAAATGCATAACAAATGAATCATCAAACAATAAATTGTCATAATAATTATCACTGTCAAAAAGTAAAAGATTATGAAACTAAAAGTTTGTTTTTTGAAAATACCAGCAAAATTGACAAACAGCTGGATTATGTGAGTTAGCTAGCTTTCCGGTACTATCCTAAAATAGGCAACTTAGAGAAAGGTTTATTTTGACACAATTTTGGAGGTTCTAGTCCATAATCAATTGGTACCCTTGCTTTCTGGCCTGTGGCCAGGCAGCAATCACACCAGAGAGCACAAGGCAGAGCAACACTGCTAACTTCACGGCTAAAATTGAAAAAAGAGAATAGAGGGGCTCAGATCCCATAATATCCTTCACAGGCAGGTCTCCAATAACCTAAAGACCTCTTGCCAGTCCCCTCCTCCCAATGGCATCAGGGGCTGGGACCAAACTCTGAAGAACATTTCACACCTAAACCACAGCACAGATTAACAAAAGAAGACTCAACAACAAACACTGAAAAGAATAAAGAAACATTAGAAGTGATGCCACAGAAATAGAAAGGATTTAACAGATTAGTGTGAATAATTAATCACCAACAAACTGGACCTAGTATAAGAAAGTTCAGAATTTCCTTCTGAAAGTTTTTAATTTTAGTTTATAAAGTAAAACTAAATATATACAGATCCACAAGAAAAAGAACATACAGATGTTTCTACAAAACATGGCCTCAAAACAAAAACAAAAACAAAAGAGACTCAAAAAACATCAGATAGGAGAAGCCTAAATCACCTCTTTAGAGCATAGAAGGGAGTGGGTACAGGCACCATTAGAGGGACAGTAAATTATTGTCAGGACAGATGGATGAAGATACAATGTTTGGGACAAACTTCCTCTAGGCTGGAGATGTAACATGTGAAGGACCCTAGCTAGCAAGACAGACTCCATATTGCTGCTTAACCCACCTGCCTGCCCTTTAGATGAACTCTGAAGGAGGAAGCTTAGAAACCTCCTCCCCTTAGAAAGAAAACAATAGACCAATATCCATGATGAATACCATTACAAAAATCCTCAGCAAAATATCAGCAAACTGAATTCAAATACACATTAAAATGATTAGACTCCATGATTTAGTGGGATTTATCCCAAGAAGTCATATAGGTAAGCATATGAAAGGCAGCCATTGTAATACACCACATCAAGAGAATGAGGAATGTTGGGT